AAAAAAAACTATTTATTTTCGTTTTTTTTTTCTCTCAGATTTGAACTTATGTGAGATCAATTAAGTCATTTTACACTAATATATGTCTATTCTCATGCTCATAAATAGTTTAAGATCATTGATATTTGGTTGTTGTTTATGATCTTGAGAATATATCTAAATAATATTTTTTAACTTATTGCAACGAGTTAATCATTGAAAATTTACCCACTTTATTCCAACAAGAGTATTATATTTGTCTTTTTTTATGACATGATTTGATTAGCAACTTGGAAAACGTTTAATGCTCAAAATTTCAAAATAAATAAACATACATGAGATGTAAATAACGTTTCAGCTTAACACAATTTATATGGAGTGAAGTGATTTTGGTTAATGTTGGTATTTTCGAGGGACCATAATGTGGGTGGGTTTAGAAAGAATCAATGAAAGGACATCAATTCAAATCCTGGATTTTCAAATTCAGATAATATATAAATTTCGTAGTATATTGTGAGCTGGATTTTCAAATCCGGGATTTTCAAATTCAGATAATATATAAATCCTGGATTTTCGAGCAATGTTTTCATCAAGATAATATATAAATTTCGTAGTATATTGTGACTTGGTCAAGAAATAAAAGATTAGTGAACCAAATCGATTAATGGGTTTAGGTTCACTAATAAAAGATTAGTGAACTCAAACGGATTAATGGATTTGCGCAAAAATAGGATACTAAAAATTTGAGGGTCCAAGAATTTTATAAAACGTTTTTGGTGGAAAAAAATATAAATGAAAGATCCTACTGAATTAAATTGGGTTCATGAATTGAAATGCTCAAAGTTTAATCCCTAAGCTACTCTGCAAGAGCACAGATGTGCAGTTGTAGTATCTAGGGGTCGAACCACAGAGACAAGAAATCACTCAATAAACCTTATGTAGATAGAGTTACGCTAAGTCGAAATATGCAGAACAAATAACAATGCAAAAGAAATAAATAAAGCAGTGATGAAGACAGTTGTAAATTCGATGTGATAAAGGATAGGCCTAGGGTGATTTTCAGGAGATCAATGAATGCAAATCAACTTAACAAGTCAGGGTTCAGTTACTAAGCACGGTTCTTGAACTCGAAACACAGAACTATAATTAACCAACTTCCGTTGTGAGAATTATCTAAGTTAAAATCCTAGAATTCCAAATTCCTTTGCAAATCCTACAGATTTAAACCAGCCTTAATGCACAAGTTCGATATGTTCACAAAGCTCCTAAACCAAATTCCTTTGCGAATAGTTACTTTGCTCAACTCAGGTTCTTTCCAGTTATTCAATTACACTTCCGTGTCAATTAAGCAACCTAAGATCTAAGTTCTAGGTGATCAGTCCAGAATTAGCTTTAAAAACAACCTAAGGTGAAGAACAAATAGATATGAACCCTAACTAGCAAGTTAATCAAACATTCAAAGAAAACCCTAATTAACCCTAAACCTAACAGGTGATCTACTCAGACATGGTTATTGAAACAACAAACATGATGAATAGAAAGCAATAGAATAAATCGAAATAGATAAAGGGGTACGAAATCTTCTCTCTAAACGAACAGAGTACAGACTTGTCTCCCCAAGCTCAGAAATCGCAAAAGCCAAAAACTCAGAGTATCTCTCTCTCAAAAATCTAAGGTGTACGTAAAAAGGGAATAAAAATCCTATATATATCTCTAAGACACGTTTTGGGCTTCCTTGAAAACGTTTGGGCCCAACTCCTTCTTCAAATAGGAAACAAAATCGCCTTTTCCTTATTTCTCTGACAAGTGTCGCGCGTCACTCTCCATGGTGTCGAGCGTCACTAAAGCACAAAATCCATACTTGACGAATTTGATCCTGATTAAGCTCCAAAGTGCTCCAAAGTCTCCAGTTAAGCTCCAAACGTACCTAGGACCTGTAAAGACTCCAAAAGACTCGAAAGACACTAAAAAGACTCTATAAATAAGACATATACCATGGTTAAAAACCATAAAAACCATGATATATCAACTCCCCCAGACTTAGCATTTGCTTGCCCTCAAGCAAACAGAACACCAAACAAGAGAAAGAAGTTTGAAAACACAGAGACTCAACCTTTCATTGGAACATCGCTTTTGACTAATCACCCTGCAACTCAACTACTGCTTCATCATTCCAAATCAAACCACCATGTACTTCTCCGTAGACATTCACAGCTTTCCAGATTAAGTCCAAAATTCCACAACATGGTCCATAAACCTTCATCGCTGGATCTCACTGATGATTCCAATGCCCAGAACCTTCTAGATTGTTTCCCATTCTGTACTCAAACAAATCAGCCTTACAAACTTTGGTACCTTTTCTCTCCCCCAGACTTATTCCTTCGCACATTCATCATCTCTTTTCTTATGGCGCATACTCGATAAGGATAAAGCTGCGAGTATTGATGGTGTTTGCCACGAAGTCCCCGAGTTGTCCCCTTACCTTGTATCAAAGGTCTTCAGCGAATAGTGGGGTCATGGGAAACATTCCTACCCCTCACTTCCTTCCTTTGTGTGATCATTCCAACTTAGAAGTGAAATAATGGGATCATTGGAAACATTCCTAGCCCTTCACTCTAAGCGAAAATCATCTCAATCTTTTTGCCCTTTTTCTTTCTTTCTTAGCTCGTCACAAGGGGGAGAAATCACTTCATTAAATTTCACACAGGCTTTCATTGATCAAGTACGAACGAGGAATCAAGCTCTAAGGCATTAGTCACATCAGCGAGTTAAAAGTGAAGTTCAGTACTTAGCTCAGGTTAGTGGATTCTGTTGGAAACATGGACGCCTCTAGTCAACTGGTCAGCCTTTGGATTTTTCATTAGTCGGATCTAGACTGAATCTGCAGCAGTGGTCACTTAGGTGAAAGGTCAGCACAATAATTCCAGGAAAAGCATCATGATCTCCAACAAGTTTTGACTCAAAAACGTTTTGACACAACTGACTCTTAAGAAAAACAAACACAATGTCAGCAACTACCTCCCCCAGACTTGAACAACACTGTCCCCAGTGTTATCAAATCCGAAGTTGGTGACAAAAGAGAAAGTCAGAAGGAAGAATGCAACGGGTTAGAATATCTTACTACTCAGTTAGGTCGACCAACACACAGCTCAGATTCAGATGAAAACAAGCTTAGGTCGAAAGTGCAAGGGTGGTGACGCGCGATACCAAAGATGGTGTCGCTCGACACCACAGTGCAGAGAGCAATCGTCGCGATCATCTATGTTAGCACTGTCAGATCACTCAGAGAAAAGTTAGTAGGAACAAGACAACCCATAGATGCATAAATCCAACAAAGTCTCACAACAGGTGTAGCTGACACAACAGACTCAAACAAACGAAAATAAAAGAGAAGAAAAAAAACACAAGACAAGAAAACAGAACCAGAATGACAAAGGAACTAGTCCTCATCGCTAGTAGTAGCATCATCAAAGGGCGTGGGTGAGCGAGATCGCGGGCGAGTAGGGCGAACACATCCGCAGCGAGAGAGAGTAGCGATGGCACTCCAGATGCTCTGAAAACTCTGAATGACATACCGCTGGAAAGCAGCAGCCTCCATGGGAACCTCTGGCTCAGTGGGAAGATCAGGGAGAGGTACTGTGGTGTCTGCTGAGCGAGGTATCTGATCGTCCTCGGAAGTGGAAGCACGAGCTCTGGAAGAAGAACCGCGAGACACAGTAATCAAGACTCTCCTCTCTGGCATGAAACGAAGCGCGGCGCATGTGGTGCCTATGGCAGTGCGTGCACGATCAGGGAGCTGAATCCGGTATGAACCAGCTGTAGTGCGAAAGGACCACTGATTGTTGTGGTTAATCCAGGAAGCGTGGCGTAGGTGATCCAAATCAATAGCTCGGCGAGTCGTGACAATGGTGCTGTTCTCCGTGCTGATCCGAAAATACTGGAAGATAGGGGTCAGCAAGCTACCAACAGACTCAGTGCGCTGCGTCGTACCTGCTCCAGAGAAAGGCTTGGCTTGCAAAGAAACCAAGTGATGAGCGAAAACAGCTCCCATGTTGACATCAGTAGCGTGCGCGGAACCCCGGTAATGCTCACCATCTGTCAAATCACTAATGCCAACATAAAGAAGAGCCAACTCAGAGAGACGCATCTTACCCGGGGTCGACTTGCACTGAATAGTGTTGCCCAGGACACGTAGAAGGCATCACAGAACAGGGTGGCGCACGTCGGTCTGGGACGTAGTCTTCGAATCACAACGCCCATTCCCAGAATGGGACCAGAAATCCTGCACATCGAACATCTGAGTAGGGAGGGTGACTCTCGGGAGATCCTTGCGAAACCCATATAAGGCACATAGGTCGCGAAAGGGGAGCCTGTAACGAACCCCGCGAATCATGAAAGTCAGAGTGCCCTCCTGCGCATTTGGAGCATGTTCGTTGGTGTAGTAGATGCGAACAGAGGCGAGGAACTGACGAACAAGGTCAGGAAACAGATCGTAGGGTCTGGTAGCCATAGATCCCAATCCAAGCTTCGTCAACAAACGCAGGAGCTCAGAATCCAAACCCAAACGCCTCATATCCAGAATGTCCAAAAACCTGGTGGGGAGTATCTTCACATTGAGCCAGGCGTTGTAGAAGAAAGTGTCGTAATCATCCCAGTCATCTGAAATTGGCCTGTGTAGACACTCAACGCTCTCAGCAACAGCTCGAGGTGGCTCGTCCCAGATCCTGCATGTTGGAATGCGCAGATTCTCTCGTTTAGGCCAAGGACGCCTAATCCTCTCGTCAGGTGAATCAGGGAGTGCAGGAGGCGATGGTGGCGGTGAGGCGGAGGCTCGTGGTGCTGCAGCAGGGCGAAGATGGGAAGTCGGGAACACCTGCAACTCCTGGGAGTCAAGGAATGTGACCATGTAACGAGATTGTGCGAGTACAGCCTTCACGGTTGCACGTTGCCACAAGTCACCATCCAAAACCTCGACGTGGTCTCCGAGTTGGAAGGTTACTTCGACTGGAGGTTGCGAACTGGAGGCGGCGTCCCTGCATTGTCGCTTGCGTGGAGGCATCTGCAAAAGAGGAAACAGAGCAAACCAACAAAAGAAAAGAATCTCAAGTCAGTGAACAAGTAAGTACAAGTGATGTTCTCCAGCAAGTCGGATCAGCGACAAGGAGGAGTCCAGCGACGCATGCATACAGAAATCTCCCTAAAACCACAACAAATTTCACACTCTCAAATTTTGAAGTGCAATTGGCATGAAGAACAAAATTCTCAAATTTAGCCAAATGAACCGTTTAAAGCGCATGGGGGTGGTCGAAATCTGCCCTAAATGGATCGCCATAGGTGAAATCAAGCAAAGCATCAACCCAAAAAGAGCAATGTCGAAAAACAAACCTGAGGCACCGAAATCGAAAAAGTGGAGATTCGAAGTGTGTACCTTGTTGGAATGGCAAATCGTTGAGAGAAACAGATAAAGGGCGAAAATCGGATGAGGTTAGGCTGTGGAATCACTCAAATCGGTGAAGATTTGAGTAATTTCGGTGTTGGTGAGGGTGGTTATGGCGAAAGTGTCGAGTGCGGTGAGGAGGAAGGGAGGAAAAAGGTGTGAGGGTGAAGGTTTTAAATAAACGTGGGAAAGAGAAGACTTACCTGTTTGTGAGTGACGGGCGACACCTAGGGTGGTGACGCGCGACACTTGCAAAGTGCGAATGGTATTTTCCTCGTGCCCGATCCGCTCGACACCAGCCCTGTTTCACCTGAAACACGAAAAGAAAAACGAAAATCAACTGAAACAAAAAGACTTATTTACAGACTCACCAGTGGATTGCCTTCCACCAAGCGCTCGTTTAAAGTCATTAGCTTGACTTGATGGTGATTCAAGCAGGAGGTGCACCATCCAGAGGCACGATATGTCCATCCGGAATCTCAGCTTTGGCCCAGTAGTGCTTCACCCTTTGTCCATTGACTGTAAACTCTCTGCTACCATCTGGTGTGAGGAGGACGACAGCACCATAGGGGCGAACCTCTTTGACTATGAAAGGACCTGACCATCGAGAACGAAGTTTACCAGGAAACAATTGCAAACGAGAGTTATACAGAAGTACCTGATCATTCGGTTCGAATTGCCTGGAGAGGATTTTGGAATCATGATACGCCTTGGTCCTCTCTTTGTACAGCTTCGAATTCTCATAGGCGTGGTATCTGATTTCGTCCAACTCATTCAGCTGTATCAGTCTCCTCTCTGCAGCAGACTTGATGTTGAAATTCATCAGCTTTATCGCCCAGGCTGCCTTGTGTTCGATCTCTACTGGAAGGTGACAGGGCTTGCCATAGAGCAGGTGGAAAGGTGTGGTGCCTAGAGGTGTTTTGAACGCTGTCCTGTATGTCCAGAGTGCATCGTCCAACTTCGCAGCCCAATCCTTTCGAGTTTTGCCCACTGTCTTTTCCAGAATCTCTTTGATCTGTCGATTCGAGACTTCGACCTGTCCACTCGTCTGAGGGTGATAAGGAGTGGCAACTCGATGATGAACTCCATGCTTCCTTAGGAGTTTTTCGAAAATCTTGTTAATAAAGTGAGAACCACCATCACTTATAACAATTCGAGGTACTCCAAATCGAGGAAAGATGATGGTCTTGAACATCTTAAGGACCACTGAAGAATCGTTGGTGGGACTGGCAATGGCTTCGACCCACTTTGAGACATAATCAACAGCAACCAGGATGTACTTGTTCCCATAAGAAGAGGGAAAAGGACCCATGAAATCGATACCCCAGCAGTCGAATACCTCAACCTCAAGGATGAAATTCTGTGGCATCTCATGTCTTTTGCTGATCTTTCCTCTCCTCTGACAAACATCGCACTTCGAGATGAATGCATGTGCGTCGCGAAACATGGTAGGCCACCAGAAGCCTGCTTGAAGAACCTTAGACACTGTTTTGAATGTTGCAAAGTGTCCAGCATATTCGGATCCATGACAATGAAACAGCACTTCTGGAACCTCTGACTCTGCAATGCATCTTCTGTAAATCCCATCAGAACAGTGCTTGTACAGATATGGCTCATCCCAGTGGTATCTTCGCAGCTCTCTCAGGAACTTCTTCTTTGCATAGCCGTTAAATTTCTCAGGCTCAGCCTCTGCAGCGAGATAATTGGCAATATCGGCATACCAAGGGCGTTGGGTAGCGGATACAGCAGCTGAACTGGTCTCAGGAAGTCTGTTTCGAATTTGGGAGGTCTCTGTGTTCGCCTGAGAAAGGTGACGCGCGACACTAGTGGTGGTGTCGCTCGTCACTAACGTTCCTCCAACTCGAAAAACCTGAAATTCTTCGTCAAAACTGCTCTGGAATTTGGTTTCCACATAATACACATTCTCTTCTGGCAGGAAATCGTCTATGGGTACGTCGTCTTCAACCCTGATGCGTGAGAGATGATCTGCCACACCATTCTCAACCCTCTTCTTGTCCTTGACCTCAATATCGAATTCCTGAAGGAGTAGCACCCATCGCAGCAACCTTGGCTTCGCATCCTTCTTCTGCATAAAGTATTTGAGGGAAGAATGGTCTGTGTGCACTATCACTTTCGATCCCACAAGGTATGGCCGAAATTTCTCAAAAGCAAAGACCACAGCCAACAGCTCTTTCTCAGTAGTAGCATAATTCCTTTGAGCATCATCCAGAGTTCGACTGGCATAGTAGATGGCATGAAGCTTTTTATCCTTCTTCTGTCCTAGAACAGCACCAACAGCAAAATCACTAGCATCACACATCACCTCAAAAGGCAAATTCCAGTCAGGAGGCTGCACAATGGGGGCGCTGATCAGGGCATGCTTGATCTGTTCGAACGCAGCAAGGCACTCATCTGTAAACTCAAACTTAGCATCTTTGCAGAGCAGAGCAGTAAGAGGGCGTGCAATCTTTCTGAAATCTTTGATGAAGCGACGATAGAAGCCTGCATGACCCAGAAAACTTCTAACCGATTTCGCAGAATCAGGCGGTGGCAAGCTCGTCATGACGTCGATCTTCGCACGATCCACTTCGATACCAGCTGCAGAAACCTTGTGTCCAAGCACAATCCCATCTCTGACCATAAAGTGACACTTTTCCCAGTTAAGGACCAAGTGTTTCTCTTCACAGCGAGCCAGAACCTTGTAGAGATTATCCAGACAGTCTTTAAAAGATGATCCGTAGACTGAGAAATCATCCATAAAGACCTCCATGAAATCCTCAATCATGTCAGTGAAGATGGACATCATACATCTCTGAAACGTCGCAGGAGCATTACAGAGTCCAAAGGGCATCCTGCGATATGCGAAAGTGCCGTATGGACATGTAAAGGTGGTCTTCTCCTGATCGTCTGGGTGGATAGGGATCTGGAAAAATCCTGAGTACCCATCGAGGAAGCAGTAGTATGGATGGCTTGCAAGTCTCTCCAGCATCTGATCAATAAAGGGTAATGGGAAGTGATCTTTCCTGGTCGCTGCATTCAACTTCCTGTAATCGATGCACATCCTGTGTCCAGTCACTGTGCGCGTCGGAATCAACTCATCCTTGTCATTCTTCACAACTGTAACCCCTCCTTTCTTAGGAACCACATGCACAGGACTCACCCAAGCACTATCTGAAATTGGATAGATGATTCCAGCTTCCAGTAGCTTCATGATCTCCTTTTTGACGACGTCTTTCAGGTTAGGGTTCAGCCTGCGCTGGTGCTCGATCGACGACTTCGACTCATCCTCCAGGTGGATTCGGTGCATGCACAAGTCTGGTGAGATACCTGAAATATCATCAAGAGAATAGCCAAAAGCTTTGCGATGCTTGCGCAGCTTGCTCAGTAGTAAGGTAACCTCAGCATTGTTCAAAGAAGAGTCGATAATGACTGGGTAAGTAGAATTAGAGCCCAGGAATGCGTACCTTAGTCCTGCAGGGAGCTGTTTGAACTCAATCTTAGGAGCTTTCTCCTCACTCCAGTCGGATAACTGCTTCACCTTCGCAGGAGTCTCAAGCTGTTCAGCCTGCGATGCTAGCTGCATCACATGCTCGCTAGAGTCCAACATCTTTGAGTAAGATGCTGAAATTTCGTCCAAGTGTTCAGCTTCAGATGCAGACGTGGTCAAAGCTCTCTCAAGTGGGTCTGTAGGAAGCATCTCATGGAAAAACTCTTCAGCAAACTCTGTGAGAGTGTCGACATAGAAGGTCTGACCATCGATGGTGGGCTTCTTCATCAGCTTGTCCATGTCAAAGTTCATCACCAGATCTCCAACATTCAGAGCAATCCTGCCTTTCCTGACATCGATGATAGCACCTGCTGTAGCTAGAAAAGGTCTCCCAAGGATAAGAGGATCTTTAGGCTCCTCTCTATACTCTAAAACCACAAAGTCAGTCGGTATCATGCAGTCTCCAACCTTGATTGGAACATCTTCTAGCACCCCTTCAGGTATCCTTGTCGAACGATCAGCTAGGATGAGGGAGATCCTTGTTGGCTTGAAATCAGTCATGCCGAGATTGACAGCTACCGAATAAGGCATGAGGTTAACACTTGAACCCAGATCACACAGCGATCTCTTGAATCTCTCTGTGAAGATAGAGCAATCCAAGACAAAGCTTCCTGGATCAGACAGCTTCTCTGGAATTCGGTTCTGAATCACTGCACTGACTTGCTCAGATATCATCATCACTCCCTGTTCATGGCTGAGATTATTGGTTACCATTCGCTTCACATAACGTCTGATAACAGGATCGATTTTTACAGCATCAACCAAAGGTATCTCAATCACAAGCTTTTCCATCAGAGCTTTGCATCGTGCATCATCAAGCTCTTGCTTGGACTTCCTAGGGCTCCTTGGGTAAGGAACTTTAGGTTTGTAGACTTTTTCCTCTGCAGATTTCGGATTCGGAGCATCAACAGCTTCGCTCTGCAATTGGTGACGCGCGACACTAGTGGTGGTGTCGCTCGTCACCGGCTCTGCAATCTCAGGAACTGCTTCAGAACCTTCTAAGTCCACGACTTCAGGTGCAGGAGGCGTCTTCTTGGGCTCAGAACTCAGATTTTTACCACTCCTCAACGTGATAGCACTGCAGTGATGCCTTGGATTGGTGTCAGTCTTCCCAGGAAGAAAACCCTCTTGCCTTTTAACAGAACCTGCAGTTTGGGCTACCTGTGTATCGAGCTGCTTGACATGGGTGTTCAGAGCTTCGATTTTTCCATTCAGATCGAGGTAGAGAGCATCCATCTTCCCATTAAAGTCCACGGTGAGCTTCTGCTGACCTTCCAGAATCTGTTCCAGCATAGACTTCATCTCATTGTCAGGATTTTGAGGTTGAGATGAAGGAGTGCTGTAGTTTCTGGAAAAACTGTTGTTGGAGAAAGGTTTCTGGTACTGAGGCTTAGGCGTGTAACCAGAGAAGTTCTGATTACTGTTGAAGGTATTCCTCTGATTGTTTCCACTGTAATTTCCACTGTAGCTTCTGTTACCTTGCTGATTACCAAACCTCTGACCCTGAAATCCTGATCCACTGACAAAGTTGACATCCTCTTCCTCAGCTGCATCCTCAGGTTCGAAACTCTCCACCTCCTGTGCGAATCTGACAGATTTCTTACCCACTAAAAGGCTGTGCACAGAATCAAGTTTAGCCTTCACTTCAGCGATCTGCGATCTATCCATGTTCCCAGCTTGCTTTTTTCGCTCAAGATCAGCATTCTTGGTGCTGTTGCTGGATGCCAAATTTTCGATGAGCTCAACAGCTTCGTCTGGGTATCTGGTGTTGAAGTTTCTATTGCTCGCTGCATCAAGAGCCATCTGATACCTCCAGTCGATACCTCTGAAAAAGATACCCAGCAACTGCACATCGCTGAAGCCATGGTGAGGGCAGTCTCGCTGGTACGATTTGAATCGCACCCAAGAAGCCTTGAACGCTTCAGTAGGGTCCTGAGAGAAAGTCGAGATCTTAGTCCTCAACTCCTCAGACCTAGCATCGTCGAAGAAGTTGTGCATGAAGGCGTTCCTGGTCTCCTCCCAAGTGGTGAGTGATCCTGGCTCCAACTGCTTTAACCAGTTAGCTGCTTCTCCAGCAAGAGAGTAAGGAAACAGCTTGCAGAGGAGGAAATCATTGGACACTCCATTGTATTTGATGCTGGTGACCAAGTCCTCAAACCTCTCGATGTGATCCATAGGGTGCTCATGAGAGTGGCCATGGAAAGGATGTTGACCCACAAGAGTGTAGTACACAGGCTTCAGCTCAAAATCGTTTCTTTGAAACGCAGGAGCGCGAATCGCAGAACGATTTGCATAGAACTGCTCAGGCCTGTTGTAGTCTCCAAGTGTTCGTCCACGTCCAGCTGCAGGTGCAGGTTCCCTCGCATTCCGATCCTCTGGAGCGTTCCTCTGTTGTGGAACGATCACAGCATTCCCACGCGGTGCAGGTGGTGGATTCTGGTCAACAACATCCACTGGTAAAGGAGCTGGTGGAATGATGTTACCATCTCCATCAATCCTTTGGCCTCTCGCATTGCACAGATGACCCTCTCGGTCTCTCCAGGTTCCATCATCATCACGAACAAGTCCATTGGCGTTTTCCATCATTGCCGGATCTCTTGCTTTCCGCTTCGTTCGCTCTAACTCAGCTAGCTGTTCGTTGCTCAAATTCACTAGCGGGATGTCCTTGTTGCTCCTGGTTCCACGAGTATGCATAAACCTGAAACACCAAAAACAAAGAGAGAAAACGAAAATAAGTAAACTAGGTTAAAGAAAAGAAGGTGTCGCGCGACACCACAAGTGGTATCGCTCGACACTAAGTTGAAAAACTTAGTCGAAACTCAAAAACTAGGTTTAATGGCGAAATCAAGTCCCCGGCAACGGCGCCAAAACTTGAAATGCTCAAAGTTTAATCCCTAAGCTACTCTGCAAGAGCACAGATGTGCAGTTGTAGTATCTAGGGGTCGAACCACAGAGACAATAAATCACTCAATAAACCTTATGTAGATAGAGTTACGCTAAGTCGAAATATGCAGAACAAATAACAATGCAAAAGAAATAAATAAAGCAGTGATGAAGACAGTTGTAAATTCGATGTGATAAAGGATAGGTCTAGGGTGATTTTCAGGAGATCAATGAATGCAAATCAACTTAACAAGTCAGGGTTCAGTTATTAAGCACGGTTCTTGAACTCGAAACACAGAACTATAATTAACCAACTTCCGTTGTGAGAATCATCTAAGTTAAAATCCTAGAATTCCAAATTCCTTTGCAAATCCTACAGATTTAAACCAGCCTTAATGCACAAGTTCGATATGTTCACAAAGCTCCTAAACCAAATTCCTTTGCGAATAGTTACTTTGCTCAACTCAGGTTCTTTCCAGTTATTCAATTACACTTCCGTGTCAATTAAGCAACCTAAGATCTAAGTTCTAGGTGATCAGCCAGAATTAGCTTTAAGAACAACCTAAGGTGAAGAACAAATAGATATGAACCCTAACTAGCAAGTTAATCAAACATTCAAAGAAAACCCTAATTAACCCTAAACCTAACAGGTGATCTACTCAGACATGGTTATTGAAACAACAAACATGATGAATAGAAAGCAATAGAATAAATCGAAATAGATAAAGGGGTTCGAAATCTTCTCTCTAAACGAACAGAGTACAGACTTGTCTCCCCAAACTCAGAAATCGCAAAAGCCGAAAACTCAGAGAATCTCTCTCTCAAAAATCTAAGGTGTACGTAAAAAGGGAATAAAAATCCTATATATATCTCTAAGACACGTTTTGGACTTCCTTGAAAACGTTTGGGCCCAACTCCTTCTTCAAATAGGAAACAAAATCGCCTTTTCCTTATTTCTCTGACAAGTGTCGCGCGTCACTCTCCATGGTGTCGAGCGTCACTAAAGCACAAAATCCATACTTGACGAATTTGATCCTGATTAAGCTCCAAAGTGCTCCAAAGTCTCCAGTTAAGCTCCAAACGTACCTAGGACCTGTAAAGACTCCAAAAGACTCGAAAGACACTAAAAAGACTCTATAAATAAGACATATACCATGGTTAAAAACCATAAAAACCATGATATATCATGAATATAAGAAATAATGAGAATTTTTGATCTCTCACACTATTTCTCTCAATTTGAAAA